AAAAGGAAGATCTGAAAGAAAATGACAGCTTTAGTAATTACATAGAATTATAAAAAAATTGTAAAAAAAAACGCGATAAGAACAAGTAAAATTAAAAACTAATTTTTAAAACTCAGTGCTTTTATATGTTTTAAAATGCAAATTTTGCAATAAGTTTTTTCTGATAATACTGTTTTATTTTATTAACATTCGGCTGTATGCGTGTGTAAAATAACAAAAGATATCCAGGAAGAGGCAAGACTCGAACCTCCGACCTTCAGTTTACGAAGTCGACGACTTTACCAATTAAGCTAAACGCAAGTCTTTAAAAATTTATTTACTTATTTATAAATTTTAAATTCTTCTTTCCATATAAAAAATAAATTTAATTAAAATTAACTAAATTAGTTAACTTATTGCATAGCTAACTAAAGTTTGAAGAAAATCTATCATCAGGAAGTGACTCAAGTAGTCTTTATATATCTGAACAAGTAGTCTTTATATATCTGAACACGTTCAAAAAGAATTCAATAAAAATAATAAAAAATAGGTTCCTGTAATAACAAAGATTTTTACAATTCTGATAATGCTAATTCATATCATGGAAATTATATATTTGAGGCACTTCAGAGAGTCTGCAAAGATGAGAACCTTCAACTATTAAGAACGGATTGCAACAAGCTATCAAAAGGTATGGATCAATTTGATCGTGAGAATGCAGCAGTAAAAAACATTATAAACAGTTTCATTAATGCAGGCAACAAGTGGTTGTTGTGAATCATTTATTGGCAGAATCAAGTTTAAAATGCACATGCTAGCTTGCATTCACTATTACTCGCAGATAACATCGGCAATGGATAAAGTTAAAAAGTAGTTTGTATCAAAAATGAAATCGTTTTCACAACAGCATTTGCCGATATCAGGAGACATACATGTGAATATGGGTGCGCTCTGCCAGTAAAAAGCATTTTCCGTTTTTTTTATTCTCAAAGTTCATTGCTAAATAAATACTTAATGGAAGGGTCAAAAGACAAGTAAGAAAATGAGTCCAGACTAGGTGGAGAAGTTACTTCGCAACGATTTAGATTCCAACAAACATGTTACTCCGCAGCAGATTAAATATTTATTTTTGAGATGGGCCAAAAAGTATAAAGAAGGATCATTAAAAGAACCGATAGAAACAATAAACAATCAGCTAATTGGTAAAGAAGAACTGAATATTAAAGACAATTATGATAACTGCAATGGTAAAAATGTTGAAAATAACGATGAAAAAGATAAAAATGATTTTGGAATGGTAATGCAAGATGAATGTTATAATATTGTATATTATAACAGTATTTAAAATACTGATATAGATAACTAAATGAAAACAACAGATCTCTGATTTTAATATATATGCTTAATTTTTTGTATTAGTGAACTCATTAATACTTTTTAATATCAGTGAATTCCTTCTATAATCAGTGCAGGGGCGGATCCAGAATTTTTTTGGTACTTGAGTTAAATAACATTCAGGTAAATTCTAAACTCCAAACTTTTTTTATGCTCATACTTATGTCATTTAAGAATGCTTTGTCGAAAATTGCATTGATTAGAGCCTAGGAACAAAAATACCCTAAATAGTAGGCATTACCCGCCCAAATGAGAGAGGACATTATTTTTTAAAAAAAAGTTACTTCCTTTAATAAAATTCAAATGTTTATCTAAATTTAAAGTTTGATCAAAAAATCATCTAGCGTTCAAAAGTTATAGCCAATTAAAGTTTAGAGCCCCTCAAAACGAGGGGGTTGTAAATTTAAACTGGTCATAATTTTTAAACAACATAAAATTTTTCAAAAAAAAAAAATAGAACCTTAAAGATATTACCATCTAAATAAAGGATATTAGAGTTTATATTTAGAAAAACCAATTTTCCCCACATTTGGGTGGGTGATGCCTTTTTAGGATTTTTTTGTTCCTAGGCTCTAATCAGCGCAATTTTTGGCAAATCATCTTTAATTGACTAAAGTATAAAAATACAAACTTTTGATGTTTAGAACTTACCTGAAAGTAATATAACTCAAATACTGAAAAATCCTGGATTCGCCCCTGCAGTGCCTAAGTTTTTTTTTTTTGTTATTTAGGTGCCCCAAAAAGTCCTAACGGTCTTGTACAGAATATATATATATATATATATATATATATATATATATATATATATATATATATATATATATATATATATATATATATATATATATATATATATATATATATATATATATATATATATATATATATATATATATGAGATGCTAATGCAACCAAACGCAATTTTATTTTCATAATCATCTACACTATCATAATCATAATCATAGACCATAAAATATAAGAGGCTCTTATACGTCCATGATTAGACTCACAGCCATATGGTAAAAAAGTCCGCGTGGCTATGTTGGCTTCAATAGTTACTGTTTCATAAAGTTTGTACTTTTTCACAGTTATTGTACTATTATACTATGATTTCTAAACAGTGAAT